ATACTAACCCGTTATCCCGCAATCTCACTCTCCGTCATCCGTTAAGTCCGTTAGATTAGCATAAGAAAGTGGAACGTTACTTCCTGTTTGACGCAATTCACCTTTGAAACAGGAAAGTAAGCCGTAAGAAACTGAAAATAAAACCGGAAGCCTGAAAAGTTAGACGTGCGAAATGAAAGCGGAGAGAAATTCGTTTCGTTTTCATTTCCCTGCTTTTCAATCGGGATGGAAGGACTGGAATACGATTGAGTTCCCGTTAGATGAGAAGCCATTTGGAAATTCATGACAAATTAGTTTCATTGCCTCTTATTGAAAAATAAAATTTGACATTCGGAGCAACAGAAAATTCACCTCTTGGTGGTACACTATCGATTTTATTCCTTTTTTTTTGTCGCCAAGGCTGTGTGGGCACGTCAAATCAAATATATGTATAATACTCCAGTGTGAACTTGTTAGAGTTGAAACCCTTAGAGCTGTGCGACCAGGAATTAGCAGGCCAGGTTACGCTCAACAAAAGTTGGAAAGGTTAACGATAAGGAGAGCGGGAAGATGAAGAAATATAAACGAAAATCTTGGTAGTGAAGAAAAATACAGAGAAATATAGAGGCGAAATAGCTGCTCGGGACCGAAACTTATTACGACCTCGAATAATTTTTTAAGGATAACTAATATCAAATTCAGATTCGCGCATGGAAGGTGCTGGAAACGGCGTTAGAAACTGAAAATTCACAGTCGGCCATTTTCATGGAATTTAACCGAACGTTAGAAATTGCTCTCATCGTCCCGATCTTAGGAAAAAAATCCCCATGCAGTGGCGTAGGGAAGGACTTCCCTTGGACTTCCCGGTCAGTGACACTGACAGGCATATTTCAACTTTCCTTGGGAATTCAAATTTTAACTATACCCCTTCGAGGAAAGTCTAATGTCAGTCCACAGACCCAAGATGCCAAACCATTATTTTCCTTGAAACGGTAAATTCCAGGTAGTGGAGCTAGGCGTAGGGTTGGGTGTCTACCTGGCCTCAAACCCCCCCACCTTGCCGATTTCCTGCCTACGACACTGTCCCCATGAACCACGTAGCACAGCGAAAGCCCTTGTGCATTATGTTCATTCCTGCTCGACTCTTGGCAGGGACTTCTTATGAAGTGGAGTGCGGTTGTTATGAACAAGGCTCGAATGCAACTCCTCGGATGAATATTAACCCTTATAGTGCCAGAGCCGATCAGAGGGACGCTACGAATTTCATTGAAAAAGGGTAGTGTCGAAGAGCTGACGATAAAACGGTTAAGAAATGTTTTTCGTCCGAGCGTTCGATCGCGTTCCTTCTCGAACTATAGACCTTTTAGGGCCAGCTCTTCGACTCTGGCATTTTGAAGCGAAATTCGTAGCGCCGCTCTAATCGGCTCTGGCACTATAAGGGTTAAGAGGAGTGTCAACAAGTCAGGCGCCAGAATGCCTACATTTTGCCTGAAATTGAAGTCGGGAAGTAATTTTAATTTTGCCGACAGCGTTATTGGCTGAGAACATCACATTCATGCGGCTTTTATTGCCGGTGCTAATAGCTCGATTTCGGTTTTCATCAGTTAGAGAAAGATAAATGAATTACGAAGATGAATTGCGAATTACCCCATTACGAAGATGAGATCGTACTTTTCTCCTGATTCCCGTTCGAATTCCCTTCAGACCACAAACACACGAAGCCTGAAACGTAACCTAGGAAACGCATGGCGCGAAACAAAATATTTACGATGGCTCCCACTTTTCAGCCGGATTGCTGGCTGTCAAGGACACAGAAATAGAGAGCCAATGCGTTGAGACAGTCGAGCAACGGTTCCGTTATACTTGACACATGACAGCTGCAGGTTTGGTGATATTTAATGAGTTTCAAGATTCATCGTTGCTCTTCATGACAAACGCTAAAGCCAATACGCACTAAGCTAGACGCAATTCTGCTATTTTTCTACGATGACTCTGCATCATTCCACCGTCATCTCGTCAGCAGTGAAATTTTTTCGTATTACATCCAAATACATTAGAATCCATTAGAATGAAGAAAGAATTCGAATCAGTCCATTGGAATGTTCGAAGGATGTTTCAGCGTTCGGTAGTTAAAACTTTGTCAATCTGAGCATTCATATTCGAATAGATGTAGGCATCTGATTTTCATATGCGATATCCAGATGAAAAAAGTAGGAAAGAAAGGTCCTAGGCGAATACAGCAAACAAACAGAAAAACTTAAGCTTGAAAATTCTGGTACGACTGTTCCACCTTCTGCAGCAATTGACAGTTTCAAGGAGACAATATCGTACAAAGAAAATGAACGAGATTCTTTGGAAAGACTAGTATCTCCTGTTATCAATATATTGTACAAATAACAAAACCTGCTTTCATAGACGATCCATCCGAAAGCGCTGAAATACCCAAGCAACGCGATGGAGCCGAAGCAGCCAACATCCACGTTCGAACGCCGAAACTCGAATGGCCGGTTGGAAGCGAAAGGCGGGAGAGAAACTCTGGAGCGACCTCCAGTTCGGGTTTCTTTCGGCTGACGTCACACTCTCGGCTCGGGGTGGAACGAGGTTGGATTCCGCAGTGACGGTTCGGGAACTCGTGATTTGTCCTTTTTTTTTCTCGGTGGATTTTGATGTTTGAATATCGAGATGGATTTCAGATTCTTTCCAAGTTCACGATGCGGTTGAAGACGGGCGAATTTCCCCAAAAAGGTTGCCAGAGGCAAATCGGGTAAATCAATCAGGTAAAGAAGCATAGAACTTTTCGAGGTAGATAATTTGTTTCCTGTAGAATTTTATGAGTTTAACGCAGCAGAATAGTAAATATAATTTTTTGCAGAATTATCGAGATCCGAACGCGAAGAGAGGTCGCGTGAAGTACCGAAGCATCGAAGTACCGAATCTTTTCGTCTGGCTTGGATCAATGACTATTTTCATCGATCGCAGATCACGAGGCTGCGTCATCTCGTCGCTTCGGCATTGTTTATTTCTCGACGGATGAATGAGTTCTGGGTCACTAGTTCAGTAATCCAAGATGCGTGTTACGATAAACATGCGGTGGAATGTGATTATTCTCGATCGACCTCATTATATAATGCATTTCAGATGTCTTGCGACGCTTTTTCATGCTAAGAGTTCTTAGCACTTCCAGTACTTCTCAGTACTTCCAAAAAATATATTGTCGAAAAGCTACGTGAACTGTGTAATTTCTCCGAAATTCGTTTCCGTCTGGTCCGATTTTTAAACTTGACAAAATCCGTGAAACTTTTTTTTGCCAAGTATTATGCCATAAGTACCAAATCAGTAAGTACTGTCTGTCGTCCAGAGTCGCTTAGAGGATTTAATCGTGCCACGAAGCCGGACCAGACGAATCCCGCAACTTCTGAACGATTGAGCTGCTTCATAAATATCCTGGAAAAGAGAAGCAAGATTTTGCAGCATATTGTTGACTTCCGAATTTCGTATTTTTTTACGGCCGCTAATTCGCCCGTGCCGAGATAGCGCGACGCCCTCATGGCGATTCTTTTAAATCTGCTAGCATTGAGGCAAGGACCTTTCCCATCATCGTGAAAGCAGAGAGAGAGAGAGAGAGAGGAGAGAGAACGCACACTTCAACTCGGAAAGCAAAAAAGTGAACCGGAAACTTTGATAACTTTTTTCCGCTTGGTTTCCGCTGTTATTTAGCGAGGGCGGCCAAGGGGAGCATCTGCCCCGAGAGAAATGGTCCGAAAAGGAAACTATGCCGTAATATCCGGATTATGATGGTAAATATAATGAGCTTTTAAACCGAGGAAACCGTTTGCTTCGCTCGACCGTGGTTGAGAAATGGCTTTATTTTCGTTAGCGGTTTCAAATCATCATCAAATTTGAAGGCTTGTATCTCGTAAGTCGATGTTTCGACGACCGTTTTCACATCGAGTTACCCTGAGTTACCCTGAGTTACCCTGAGTTACCCTGAGTCACATTGTAACTAACTTACGACAAGAAATGCATGGACTTTTCTGTCGTCTTCAAACCGCTTTTATCAAAATTCGAAACAAAGATTAAATGCGTGATAATCGCCTCGAGTTTTCTGTGGCCGCGTTCACACAGGACGCACTATCTTACGTCCCAGCCGTGACCTTGAACAGAGAGCGTGACCTTGAAAAAAAAAAGTATCTCCTTTCCTGTTCTTTCCACTCTAGGATTCTCGACCGTCTGGCCTCAATCGCACGAGAGATCAGAGATGATCCGAGAGATGATCCGAGAGATGATCAGAGATGCGTCATCCGAAGGAAACGAGGTCGTCGAGAAAATTTTTCCGCGGAAGGAATTGCCTTCCCGCGACGCTGCGTTTCGCGATGTCTTTCCGCGTCGGAAACGTCCTTGGTCCTTGTCCTTCAACGCGACTCGCGATGAGAGATTAAGGCAACTTCAGTGACAGACGATCCTAAAAAAAAAAAAAGTCAGGTTGCATGCCATCTCACTCCGTGTGTCTGGCACCTTCGCAAGTGTCAGAATGCATGGAATACAGCACGTGAGAGACATTGAAGCAAATCGATGCAAGACTGCAAGGAAAATAGGAGTTTTTAATAAGGCATGTGAAAAGCATGTGAAAAGCATGGAAATACATGGAAAAGCATGGAAAGTTCGAATGGATGAGTTCCGAGAAAATGCATTTTCCAAGGGGGCCTCGCAGACGAATCTCGTCGCTTCGGGAAGCGGCGGATGGCCCCGACGATACGAGACTCGGACTTTCGGCGAAGCCCCGACGAAGAAGCTCCGACAGGAAACCGACGAGACCCAACATCACGGATTCTACCGGAAGAATCCGCGAGAAAAAGCGCTCGCCAACGAGCAAGTCAGAAAAGAAGGTGAGAAAGCCCTGGAGCCCTCCAGGCTTCCCCAAGCATCCGCCCCGCCTCGACGCGGAGTGACTCTAGGCTAGGCGATGTCTTGGAAGTCGCCCGGGCGAATGGCCTCGCGCGTCCAGTCCCTCAGGCGTCCAGGTCCGTGAAGGGCGGCGCTGTCTCTAGTACTGCGGTATGGTGTGGCTCGCGTCAAGCATCCCAGGCAAAAATGTTAGACTCTTCAATATAGTTCTATAGAATTCAATATACCACGCGTTGCACCTGGATAGGACCCTATACATATTGGTATATCAAGGTAAGGGGCTGGGAACCGCGCAAGCGAGACTGAGTGTTGCTCGGTGGCGGCGAGTGGACGAAAAATCTGGGGAAAAATCATCTCCATGATGAGCAAGAAATCGTTTTTGTAATAATGGGAGTATGAAACACGGAAGGTGTGTTTAGGTCGGTCGCCTGATGATTCGCATGGCTTCAAGGGGCAGGTGGCTGCAATAAAAGGCTCAACGTTCCATGGTGACAGTTTATATCGAATCGAAAACATGTCGGAGCAGAGAGGAAATTGAAACATCCATTGAACGCTTGAATAGTAGAGGCGCATCCGGTCCGAGCAGAAAGTAATCGGTTTCACGACTCACTCCTCTTACGATTTTCGGGACTTCTAAACAGAACCGCATCCAGTCAGTGCATAGCCAGGATTTCGCCAATGGGGGGGCTTACATCATAGGGGGGGGGGGGCGGATGCATTTAGACCGGAGTTGGGGAGGCTTGAACCAAACTTTGGGGGGCTGAAGTCCCTCAGCCACCCCCCTCGCTACGCCACTGACCGCATCTAGCACCTAACATATGTAATGATCACGAAGACTGTATCTTCTGTCTTTTTCATTCGTGGAAACTGCATGAAACTGCATAGGCAATGCGGATTAGGATGACCGGGCAGCTTTCTAATTTCGGTGAAGGAACCTAAATACGCTTGTGCTTGCTAGCAGTGACCCATTCGAACGCGAGGGAACCGGTGAGGTCGGCCTCCATGGATAAGGGAGGCCTCGAGGCAGATAGAGACGTTTTTGTTCGTCCAGTTTCTCATATCCCTAAGTACATATTTACTTTACAGCCCAATCCCAATCCGTGCAGCTGTTTAAAATTGCACCACTTACGACGGAAGGACTCTCCGATGCACGATCCCCATGAGGACTTCCTGCCGTCTACTAACTGCGACCTATGCCCTATCCCGCCGTATGCCGATGCTTTCGCTGGTTCATCTTAAATTAATCGGGCCTTCTAAAAGGCTCTTCACGTTCTGTCGAGTTCTAAATGACCTTTGTGTGGGGTGAAGCCCTTTATCTTTTCCTTTTGGAACATTATTTGAATCATTTGCATTATTTACAGAGAAATTTAATGAGTTTCAATATATTTTTTTTATAATGACTCTTCAGAAGCTCATTGAATTCAATATGTTTCATGTACAATTTCATTTCAGTGACACAAAAGAAATGCATACAACCCTATAGAAATTCTGTTGAATTCCTTTACAGTGTCTTCGTAGAATTCTACAGAGAGTAATATAATTCCATACGACCCTTTAATAATATTTTTCTTTAGAGAGAATTTGGAACATTTTTGCCTGGGCAGACTTTTCTCGTAACTCCTCGTTTGTTCATTCGTAATTTTAAAAATTTTAAGTATTAGAGCTATTATGAGTTTGGGACACGAACTCGCAGCAGTATAAAATGTGGAACAGGAACTTCTAATCGCGTGAAGGAAAATCAAGCCAAGTTTCATGGTCATAGGAAAGGCAATGCAGAAAAAACTTGCCAAACGCGCTATTGGCTGGAGGAAAAAAAAAAAAAAAGAAAATTGAGGAATTAGAGCGTTCGGCGGGTTTTCTCTGCACAAATATTTTCTTCGCATTAGTATGAGACAATTAATTGGAGACAATTAATTGGACCCCCCTTCTTACACGAGAGTTCTTCGCGATTTTTCTCTGTGAAGAGTCATCCTTGAAACTATGATTAATCTCACGACACTGCTGAGTTCGTGTACCAAAATGCATCGCTCTATTCCTCGGTACTTTTATTTTTGTTTATACAATTATGCAATTCTTTCCCTTGTGGTTAAAAAAAGAAAGTTGTCTGGATTGTGTGCAGTTTGTCGAAAATGGCGGGACATCTCTCGTCACCATCGGGCGACGGTGACGGCAATCGGCGCAGAACAAGGGTTTTTGCTTCATATTTATTTCTCGATGGAGTTGCGAAAATTTCCGCAACTTCACATCTCGACATTCTCGAATTTGCACGGCTGTATTTGCGAAAAATATCCATTCTTCTTATCTGAATCATCGAGAACCCAAAAACGCGGCGTGATTCGATTTTCACACCTGATCGAGAGCAGAAAGCACGGGAATTCTCTCCGGTCCTTTTTGCACGACGGTTCAAGGATTCAAGGCTCAAGGCTCAAGGTTCAAGGCTCGGTCGCTGAAGAGGGACTTCTTCCCAAGCAGTTCGAGTCGAGGTCGATCTTATCCTCAGATAGGGCTTCCCCTCCAGAGATAAAATGCTTTTGGTTAATATCCCGCATAATTACGGCTTTGTCGCTTCCCTACTTTCCGTTTTATCCACGAAAACGTGCAATTTCTTGGGGGGGGAAAAAAAAATCTTGGAAAGGGGAGCCACGTCACCGGATTCCACCCTTTCGGTACCAGACAAAAATAAAAATAAAAATTTCGGATTTGGGTCTTCGGGCCGACTTGCTGAAATCGGTTTTTCGTTCTGCTTTAACCGCGAAGTTTGAAAAGCCACCTCGCCTCGTGTTATCGAAGCCGTGAATGATCTTAATTGATCTTAATTGCCTAGATGAGGCTTCACTTCATTAATCTCTCCAGCGGATACGACGATTGGAAGCGCCGTTCGCACATCCCCTTATTTTAATTGGCTGTCGTCGAACCATCTTCTGCGCCAATAAATCCGCACGAGCCTTCAAATTTGCTTGCAAATGGGGCCTTACACCAGCGTCGGGCACGGCTGAAGAATAACCTGTCAGGTCTAATTGATTACTGAACGCTGGATAATCGGATGATCCCCATTATCCTGCTACGTTTAGCTACGGTCGACGGCCCGTGCCCAGAGGATTGCAATCCCTCATCGATAATCGCCCTTAAATCCCTCTTTGCCCCCTCTGCCCTCTCTGCCCCCTCTGCCCCCTCTGCCCCCTCTGCCCCCTCTGCCCTTTCACGCCGAACGTATAGTTGCCACGTTTTTACGGCCAATTATGTCTTTACATTTATTTTCTTCCTCTCGTTCATGAAAAACCTACCCCGTCATGGAAGAAAATCATTTCCCTGTCGGCTAATTAAAGTATTGCATTTAACGATTTAATGATTGGCTTTGCGATCGGGAGCCCTTGGGGGGGGGGGGGGGCTGGACACATTAATTTCAGCTAATAAGCGACGACAACGTCTCATCCATCGTATCGATTTTTCGACGAATCGGAAACTTCTATATTAGTAAGAAGTAGTCGAAACCCTCTTAATCCGCGCCGAGATCCGAAAAACGCTTTCTGTAATTTCGGCTGAATACCACGAGATCGACCCTGCTTAAACATCTGCGCTAATTCGCTACCTTATCTCCTAATCCGCTGCCTAATCTCCGAGAACGCCCCGGAGCAAAATATTTTTCTTGGAAGTTTTTTTTTTTTTTTGTTACTTCCTTTCTCGAGAATCTGAGCTGGAAGCCATTAAAGCTCGTTGGCTTTCCCTATTTAGCCCGAGAATAGTCTAATCATGCGAAATATCGCAACAGCACTTTCTTTAATGCACATTTTTCAGTACATTCCGTCGCATGCTGATTTTGATTCGTTAAGAGCCGAATCGAATGATGGCTCCCTTGCATATTGATTTTTTTTACAAAAAGTCTTGGGGTTGTTCTTGTTTGGCTAGATTGCCGGAGGGGATCCCGTTTCTGTTTCTCATATCGATTAAGTGACTTAATGCTGAGCGGTTGACTAAGCACTCTCTTTCACTTCTTTGCTTTGTAATCCTCTAAAAAAAAATCTAGAACTAAAATAGCTTCCGCCGTTTCTCAAGCATTAAACCGGTGAATTCCGCTTTTTACCCCTTTTAACGCGGACCGAATTTGGCTACTTTAGCCAGGTAATTTTCTCCATATTTTCGGGCAAGATTGACGTTCGATCCGGAAGCAAAATTAAGTCGGTCCTCTGGTTTTCCTGGTAATTTAATGGTTTCAACATATGGTTTCAACACTCGATATGGAATTTTTTCCGGGTTTGGAAATATCAATTCTATCTACGTTGTGGTTAAATCTCACGTCTTCTGATATTCGGCGAATTTTGGCGCTGGAAAATCTTTCTCTTTGCTCAAAAATCAACTTCGCGCGTGCTGCGTACAAGAAAGACCACATTTCTGTTCATGACTCATAAAAATTTTATTTCCACAGGACAAGAAACTCAGGCAGAATGAGCATGCGAGGGGCGTACGTGCACAAAGTCACGTAGGCTCTTGAAAAATATCGAACGAGTTTTTTGTTTTCTCAAGTTCTCCCGGTCGTATCGGAAGGTACTTGAAGAAGTCCTCCAATTGTTTGCTCTCGGTACATGTTTGACATTGTATAAATATCCACTTGCGACACTCAAAGGACCATTCTCGTTCACTTCCTGCTCTGCCAATCATCAGGTCAGTCCGCATTTCCTTTTATTTAACATTCGCATGATCGGATTGGATAGCGTGACTGGGGGAATTGTTGGCTGGAAGTCGCGGGATTCCATCAATTTCCTCTCTGTCGCCGAATCGAGTTAGCATTCTTCTCTGCCCTACTCGAATTGCGTCTGATTGAGGCAGGAAGGAAACGGGGAATAGAGTTTTGAAAGGTCGTTCAAGGACGGCGATGATGGTGCCGATCCATCGGCTTATTTACGATCCACTATTTCATTCTCCCTCGAGAGAGTAGTGCTGGATGGGAGGGATATAGACCCAAATGCAAGGTGGATAGATCTCAGAAGTGAGTTCTCAGAAACGGTGCATTTCACTTGGTTGAGATGCAGTGCTTCACCTCAAGACCTTATTCTGTATGTAATTTGATGTTCTGATCGAGCGGCTCGACTGGCGCTATTCGGTGACCTTCGCATGTATTGTTTACACTAGCTTAGATAGGAACAGCTGTAATACGAGACTGATATCAAGTCGTTAAAAACCAAAAGAAAATCAATATTTCCCTGAACGCGGCTGACGTCCGTCCATGCAAAGCTTCGTTGACTGCAACCGGGAGGGAGGAGACACATCACTGCGTCATGGTTGTCGTCTGCTTTTACGTCCATCCCATCGACCGCATGGCAGTCAGTTCAACGTGCAGCCTAGGCGAGATTCCCATGAAGGCATGTGTCTTCTGGGAAAGCGCCAAGACCGCTCAATTGTTCGTCACTAGGCGAAGGCCTGAAGTTAATTGGTTAGGCCTAACCACCTTGCTGGCTTCATTTTCCTGGGCGCAACTTGTAATTACCGACTCAGGTTTGGCGGCTTTCTGTTACTGTTAAGCCGAGCGAGAAAAGAAGCGTGCCGCTCGGATTCGGGTTATGTTTAGTTGCAAGATTCAAGTTTGGTATTGGCCTAGGCCTAGCCCTAACGGTAGTCTAGGTTACACGTTAGGCTTCTAGTGGTGGTCAAAAGGTGAGTCTGGAATCCCACTCAGCCTGGGCCTGGAATTTGCGTTTGGGCCCATCGGATTCGGCGGTCATGCATCTTTTGTTTGGAATACTTTCATTCTCACACTTGTTCAAACTCCACCTCGAGTATTTCTAAGGACAGATCATGTTGACCTAACGTTGGACAGGGTATCTTGAGCCAAGTTGCTGGAGGGAGTTGGCCAAGAGGATGGAAACACGTGGCGCGGCTTTTGCTTTGTTGAGTTCAACATCTTTTCCATTTGAGTCTGATAGGTTCTTTCACATTGGCGCAAAATCATTTTATGAATCTGGTGAGTAGGATCAGTTCAGTTTTTCTAGAGCATGTCAGAGTGCAGTGAAAATCGCTATTACACAAGGCAGTGTCTATTGGCCAAGCTGGCTCAGCCCTGACTTAAGGGACGAGGTGGAGAGTCACTTGACTCATGACATCTCAGTTGATGAGACCAATACTCTATAGAAGAGAGCTCGGCCTCTAAGCTGTGGCTGAGTTGGCTTTTTGAAGTGGAGAAGACTTTGTAAGATTAGGCCTAAGTCCTAAAATATGTGTATTCCAGAGTGATAGCTTTCATCATATTACTAATACCATGTGCATCTTTTTCAGCAACTTCAACTGAAGAGTAACTATTAAGATGCAGTATTTGACAAAATCCGTAAAATCCATATAGTTAGGGTAGAGGATGCACTCAAGATCCTAGATGTGTGTGGTGAAAAGAGAGCCCTAATGGGTGATTTCAAAAGTTGATTTCAATTTACCCAGGTTCCAGCACAAGACATCTTAAATTAGTTAAGTTGCATGTCATCTACTTCCTAACCTGACATGATATAAGAACTTTTAAACAACCATGATGTATTACATTAATGAAGAGCTGTCTAGTTTTGTGCTGATGAGGTGAAAAAGATTGCTCAGTCTTCCCACAAGGCAAACAAAGCAGCTTCCTCTATCCTGCAAGACATGCCTGTGTTTGGTGGGCTGCAGGAAACTGTCATGTCAGTAGTGACGTTTGAGATCATTATTCCCAGCTTGGCCAATAGACACTACCATTACACAAATGAAAATTCTCAGTGATCCAGCATCCATAACAAGTGATATGAAAATGTTGCTCCTAAGGTCTTGAAAATTATTCATGAATTTGAGATTTTATTTTTAGGGCCTAGGCCCTATATATAATTGAGGCCAGGGGTGTCCAAAGTACAGCCTGCAGGGCACATGTGACTTGTGAAAAAGTTGGGGGAAAGTAAAAAACAAAGGAACTATGGAGATAAGAGAAGAGAAGAGAAAGCCAGTGATGCATGCAGGGGAGTGAGTACCCTATCCCCCCTCAAGTGCAGGAAAGCACATTTCCATAGTCAGGAAAGCTTCCATGTAGAACTTCTGCCAACCTGGTACCACCCTATCCCATTGGATAACCAAGAAGTTTAGGTACACCTCTAGGCCTGTTGAAATTAGATTCAATGTTAGTATCATACCAACACTTTGCAAAAAGGGTGCATTTTGTGTGCATGTGCGAAAAAGTGGTACTTTTTTATACACCTCACTTGAGGTGAAATGCTCCACCTCTAAGCACCTTATAATTCACCTCTAAATTGGAATAGCAAAATTTAGGCAAGAGTATTGAAAAAAAGCTGGCAAGCATTTCAACACCTGGGAAGAGTCAAATATCGATAGCCTATCCAATGGAATTTTTTCACTGAATTTATGAAACTGTATTTCTCCTATAGAAAACAGTAGAGCGTTTTTTTTTTTAACCACCCTATATATGGTGTTGGAATTCCTGTGGCTTCTTCTAATTGGTTCAAGGAGGCAGCATTTGCACTGGATGTGTGGCTTGATGCCTTATTCTGGTGCACAAATACCTTCAGAGCTCTCTGGTCCATATAAAAGATGTTTGGAAAATCACTCCCTATTTTTAAATAGCATAACTATTTTATAATTTAAAAAAAATTAACAATGCCTTTAGTGCCAAAAGAAAGAGTGTGATGAGGTTTCATGATTTTATTTATTTGTTTGTTTACAGTTATCCTCCAAGACACCAAAATTTAATCTTTGGCACCTGTCCCTTTGACCCCTATCTTGGTCCAGAGGTGGTGGTGGAAGAATGGTTTCTGTGCAACTTTGGACAAAGAACCTCTGCACCTTGTGCTGTGCAGCTATTTTCACATGGTGTTGAAGATTCAATTTCGGTGTCTTGGAGGGTTACTGTATACAAAAAACTATATGAAATCATGAAACCTCATTTAATTCTGTTTTTGGCATGAAAAAAATTATTCTGGTACAAAAATTACAAAAAATGATGGTATTAAGATTTAAAGATAGGGAGTGACTTTCCAAACATCCTGTTATAGAGGATTTCCTCAAAATTCACTCCTAGTGAATTTGTAAATTAAACTCTACATTCTTGACTGATCTACAGCTTTCAATTATAGCAAATTCCATACTACTTATTTCACTGACCAATTGACAAAAGGTAGGCCTGGCAAATAGTAAGTAGTTAGTTGTGGATTCATTGAAGTTGGCAAGTTGGAACCTGTTTCAGTATTATCCATCTTCAGTTTTTATAAAGGAGATTTTTATCAACTGCCTGGCTGCAGTTGTCTCCTGTATGGATCTTTTTTTAGTTTATAATTATTTTCAGTTCCACTTTGGAAGACCAATCAATACACATGAAGTTTGTGATGCTAATGTCAACATATCAGACCTTTCCCATAAATGAGTCTCTGCAAGTTTATAATCAGTCTTTCTGGATATGGTTGCATCAGCATATTTTACCGTTTGATTGAAGTCATGTAGACTCCATTTGGAATGTATAAATTCATGTATTATTTTTTTTAAATCCACTAATGAGTTGAATCATGATTATAGTAATGTTGCCCTCTTCCATTTTCTAGTATCAGGAGTATCAGAGATGTCAGCAGCTGTTGTGTCAAAGCCAAAACCTCTCAAGGTGGAAAAGGCTCACTTCATGATGCCTGCTCTTGCCAGAATTTTTGCTATGGCAGCCAAGACATGTGCAAGAGGGACAAGCATAGGCCTTCTGCTTTCATTGACTCTGTTCTTCAAAATGCCTGCTTCGTGTTCAGGGAAGGAGCCACTCTTGAATGATGCATGGAATCCAAAATGGGGACCCCTCCCAGATGATCCTGCTGATATAATGAACCTCCTCATGAGAAGATTCTCATATGAAAAACCAGACCTCTCAATAGAGAGTTTTGGACTGCTTTATGAAGTCCTTCATCAGAAGTCTGGTATATCATTAGATACCCTACCTCCCTTGGATGGTCCATTTGATCTCTTAAGGAATTGTACTGTGAACAGCAAGGCATCCAGTCTCTATTGTAATGTGGCTTCTAAGGTAAGTCCATTTCCCAGAAGGAAAGGCGTTAAAGGGATTGCTTTTTTTAATAGCTTTTTTTTTTCCAGTGCCTCTCATCTCGAGAGCTGGTAGAGCTGTACCTTGGTGGCCAGTACTTTGCTCACCCTTCCCAGAATCATGATCTGCATGTGTCTGATATTCACACTCTTTGTCCTCCCCTACTTTTTCAAGCAGCCTCTGGGATTTGCAGTCTTTCATTGCCGAATGTCAAGCACGAAGAACAAAACTCTCCATCTAAAAAAGAAGGTAACTTCAAGTTGCCCACTGGTAGTCTAGTGTTGTGAAATTAAATTTCTGAAGAAATGTAATAGTACTATTTATTTATTTTACCTCTTTTTTCAGTGTGGGGATATGGACTCCTATGTGTGACAGTCATCAGTTTATGTTCTTTGTTTGGAGCTGGTCTCCTCCCATGCATGGGAAAGAACTTCTTTGAAAATATGCTCACAGTTTTAATTGGCCTTGCAGTTGGGTCACTAACAGGCAGTTCCCTCTTTCATCTCATTCCCCAAGCAAGTTCAATGCCATTTGTTTCTCATAAAGAAAAAGTTCAGGTCAGTTTACTTCAGCAAACAGTAATCCTACTGGTATATCTATTTTAGGGTTTTACGTTGGCCAAGTATCATGAGAATCACGAGTACCTCTATATCTCTTTGATGATAACATTTGGAATCTACCTCTTCTTCCTGGTTGAGCGAATTTTGAAAATCTTGCTTGACCATCGAAAAGTGAGTCTCCTCTGAGATGCATTTGAAATTTTCATGAACATGAGGTCTTTGGAAACTTTTTTCTTTTGTGTTTCTCAACAGCGAATGAATCGGAAGCAGAAACATAGCACAACAGATGTCCAGATGAAGGATAGCTCTGAAGGATCTAGTGAGAACCAAGTAGCTGAAGGCCAGAATATATCCAGTATTCCCCATGATCCATCCTTGGAAAATGGGTTAAATGAAATATGTTTGGTGCCTAATTCCAAAGACATGTATGAGAGCAGTGAGCAAGTTATCAAGGCATCTTTTGGTCATCAAAAGGTTTGTCCAGTTTATCTGTCTCGGCAATTTTCTCATGAAGGGAGGAATTGGTTGTTAGATATGCTGGCTAATACTTGCGAGCAGCTATGTTGGATGTTTATGGCTAGGATTCAACCAACAATGATGGGTTGTTTAGAATATAATTTGAAGGAAGTAATGCATTAATGTGAGAGCATAGGACAAAAACTTGGAATTAGTACCTACCCATTTTGAATTTCATTATAGCCTCTTTTCTAAATCAGGATCTAATACTCTTTTTTTTTTTTACTTATTGTAGAGAAGTGTTGCTGTGTCTTGTCTTTTGATTTTAATTGGCCTCTGATCAACCTGTTCATTTTAAGTTACAAACATATTTTTACCAGTGGTCATTTGGTGAGAGCAATGCATTATTGGTGTTGGTCACACAATTTAGAGCTGGCATCAGATATAAACTGAAAATTTTGAATTAGTGTACCTCTGTTTGATTCTATTTATGCTCCAGAGCATCAAGAAAGATGGCCCTTTTTATGTGTGACTATTGCTAATTTTAAAGAATCTCAGTTTTCTTCCACAGCTTAAAATTATGGCAGCCATGATATGTACTGCCTATTCACCCATAAATCTGAGCATCTGATTTCCATCTTGGGCTGGCTCTCAACAGGCTGGTGAGGGGAGCTAAGCAGTAGGCAATACTGACCTGGAGGGAGTTTGTAGGAGCCCTAATACCTCTCTTCCTTCCAATACCATTCCAGAATCAGTCTCAGGAAAAGGCATGCCTTTTCCTGAGACTGATTCTCCTGTAAAAATATATTCCCTGTTCCCTCTTATCCATTCATAATCCTTAGCCTTATACTTTTTAGTGACATCTCTGTTTAAATAATTTGCATTTTTGTGAATGAGCTGTATACAAACTTAGCATCATTTAATAGAATTACTATTGAAATAACTTATCTTTGTTGATACATGGGGATATTCACATCTCTTGGGGTGGGTTTACGCCAGTGATTCCCAAAATTTTTGAGGTGAGGGCTACATGGATACTTTGGTCAACCAGGAACAGACTGCATTAAAAAAAATATTTATATTAACGTACAATCAACTTCCTATTGAGATACCTTAAGCAAGGAAATCTAATTTAAAAATGTGAAAGTAAAAAACTACCTACACATGCTGCATTACTTATACTTTCTCTTGTCATAGTCACTGAAACTGCCACTTCTTGGAGCCAGGGTTCATGTAAATGCACCAGTGGTTAGTCTAGGTGCTACCTTATGGGCTGTATTTTTTATAAGCACTCTTTCACATTTCACCATTTATTTGCAAAGGGAGACATTTTTCTTTGCAACACATAAATCCTCCAAATTTTAGGTTACTTTAGTGAGTGCACATTTAAATACCTAAACATCTAAATGTAGACATGAAAAGAATCAAAATTGGAATACCTTCAAGTGTAAAAATTTAAGCAACAGAATAACATAAGTATCGGAATATCTAAAGAATAAAAAAGTTGCTAGTTTTGAGTTCACGATTCCAAATCAGTGATTAAAAATTGTTTGTGATTATTTATATGACTGTTTGTCATATAAATAATCACAAATGAAAAGGATTAAATATGAAAATATCAGTTTTAAGTACATTGTAATGGGCCACATAGAAATATAAAATGGTCTGCACTTGAATACAGCTGGTTTGTGCAAATAAACCCACTTTTCACAAATAAAATATTTATATTAGCATGTAAGTTGCTTTTTGATTGTCATTCAAAGTTCTTGCACAGTTTGATGGATGCATAAAGGATCCTAAACCAAGGAATAACTTGTAAGTATTCTCATAGATGCAGCTACATGCCATATATTAAAATTTGTTGTCATGCAAACATGGAACATGTTAGTATTCATGAATGTGTCCACCCAAACTCATTTAGAAGAACATGGCAAGTAGGTAAGCCTAAATAAACCTGATCCACCCACCCTGTCCATCATTTTCCATTTCCTTAACCATCTCAAAGCCCATCAATTATACTTCTCCAAATATCATTCTTTCTTTTTTCATTCCTCATATTCTTCTTCCTACTTATAGATGAGGAAAATTCAGTGTGACATTAATGGAAGACTCCCTCCTCATTTGTTCATCCATTGTTATCAGATTTATACATTTTCTTGACAGAGGCCAAAGCCTGTACATGGACACAATCATGAGATGATGGTGACTGAAGGTGACAAGACCATTGCTACAGTGGCATGGATGGTTATCTTTGGAGATGGCCTCCACAATCTCATTGATGGCCTGTCTATAGGTGCTAGCTTCAACAACAACATTCTCACAGGTGTTAGTGTTAGTATTGCTGTCCTTTGTGAGGAATTCCCTCATGAATTAGGTGAGTATCATCTGCAGGAAAAAATTTTTTTTTACCATGAACAGAGTTCTTGTCAGCATAGATAATAGTACTACTGCATAATGTAAACTGTGTCTGGTGTTTTTTTTTAAATATCCTTTCTGGTGATTGTAAAATGTAGGTAAACACATGCTTCCTATATTTTTTACATCATTCACCCAGAAAATATAAGGCCTACTTGAAAGATAAAGGGCCAAGAGCTCTTCTGACTCTTTGATTCACTGAAGTGCTGAAGCAATGTGACATTAATTTTGCAGGGGACCTTGCTGTACTGCTTCATGCTGGCATGAGCCTCAAACAGGCACTCCTGTACAATTTCCTCTCAGCCTGTGTCTGCTATATTGGTTTAGTCATAGGAATTTTCCTTGGAAATGTTGATGCTGCTGGAGTTTATATCTTTGGCCTGGCCGGAGGAATGTTCCTGTACATCGCTCTTGTTGACATGGTAAGGAGGAAGACTTCTTTCTTCTCGTTTAACCCTTTCACTCACATTCAATGTTTGCAGTCAATTGGGCTTGAGGGTTGAAAATAGTTTATTTACTTCATGCATTTTTGGAGTCACTTACTCTGAAGCAGGAGATTCACCTATTCGTCATGTTAATGTAATCATTGCAATCACTTAGTTGCTGAATTACAGCTGATATTGTTGGGAAATCTAATATCGACATAAGAGGTTGATTTGCATTTTGGGTGGTGTGATGAATGCTATTATTCAAAATAAAAGTGGGCAGTAAATAGGTTCTGAGAGGGTTAAGGCTTGTTGATATGTTTTGGTATGCATTTTTGTCTCTAATGTAATGGGATAGACCACAACAAACTTGACTATAAAGGGTCTTGTCTGTGTATTTTCAGCAATGTATGTGAACTGCAGGTATAAAAGTTGCCTGAAGTAGCTTACAGATTTTCAGTGTAATTGCAGCTAATATTACATCTTATTTTGTGGGAAAGTTTTTAAACTTCATATGTAATCTTTGCAACTCTGCATCCTTCTCTGACAAGACAATGGTTGTCAAGATCAAACCTGGAGCACCATTATTCAAGATCATGGTGACTTCAGTGATATTGTGATTGTGTTACACCTGCGTTAAAGATCAAGTAAGCAGTAATTGCCGCACCCCATGAACAAGTGCTCCTTGTGGGAGGTCATGTGCCTGGTGTAGCCACTGGCAATGCAGAATACTCAAGTATCATCAATGCCTGAACAATGTACAGTTGGTAGTCTGACAAAGATCCTAAAGGAGCCTCATTTTCGATGATAGGAGCAGTGTTGTTTGCATCAGGGAATATTATTATGCCAAGCACCCTACTTCTCCTTATAACTGTCCTCATATTCCCCTGAAGCTTCTCCATATTTTACTCAGTCTACAATCTGACTTCCTTTTTCTATTCCAGGGTCATAATACATGTACATGGATTCCATACAATTCTTTTGATGGATGCAAATTTGATTTAAGGGGGTTCCTCCAGTTGGCAGATGTGTTCAGGAATATAATTTTGCATTTTAAGACCACCAAGTTGCAAGATATGTGGTTGTTAAAAACCAGTTTGTTTATTTGAATTAGAAATTCAAGGACATCACATCAGTTTCTCTATTTGCTATTACAGGTGCCTGAGATGAATGAGAAGGCATCAGAAGCAAGCAAGAAAGGCCTTGCAGCTGCTGCCAAAGTTTTACTTTTGCAGTGTTCTGGATTTGTCTTGGGAACTCTTGTCCTGTTTTGTCTTGCTTACTTCCAAGAAAGTTTCAGCTTCAACTGAGTTATAGTTCAGTTGGGATGCTATATGACACTGTAACTGTGATTTTAGCCTATTGCTTAAACTCCCATTTATTTATTTTTAAAAATTGACAATGATTCCATCTGTCCATGAGATAGATTTTATCATGTGAGTTGGATATGTGATGGGTCACTGTAGGTAGAAATTAGTGCATTTTACAGACAAGTTTTGATGTGCTCATCCATTGGTCTACTGTACCTGGGTATGTGTATTACATTTGAAGGTAATTAAAAATACATAATATTGATGAAATTTTTTATTTGTGTGACTTATTTGATCCACACAGATTTTGCACAATTACTTGGGTCTTTAAAAAAATTTCTTTTCTACAAATGCAACAGTTTAAATGTTGAATTGTTTCTATGCTGTGTTAAAAAAAACTGCCAATTTGTTTTTTTTTTATTATATAGGAATGATACTAAATTTCATCTGATTGACCAAATATTTCAAAAACTGCATGAAAGACGAAAGAAGGTTTTTGTCAAATTTTAACAATATTGACCCAATGTGTCACGTGCAACACCGTTTGAAAGTTGAATGCTGAGAAAATGCATCAGACATCCTTGCTGATGCATCCCCCTCAACTGTGCAGCAAGTGAGTGTCTATACTTGCCATACAGAACAGCCAAGGAGGTTAGCTTCCCTGACTGAGGCAAACACATCAGCAGGCTTGTACATCTCACTTTTTTACCTATCAAGTTTGATCTGGTATAGAACATGATGCAATGCATCAATTTGCTTCAAATTTGGCACATTCCTTCTTTCCTCTATCTATAAGCAGTGTTTAAAAAATGTAGTCAATCTGATGAAATATACTGTCAATAGTGAGAATGATTTGGTAGTTTTTTGAAACACCATGTAGTAGCACATGCTGTATAATGGTAATCCATAATCTTGTGATTCTTACAAGTATACATTAAAAAACTTTGTCAAGTAAGAGTATTGAGAAAAACTTTCTTTCAGTCAATGCAAAAAAATCACATAGGCCTGTATTCCTAAACATTATACAAGGTGCAGAGAAAAAATGCACACAGCTGTTTGAATACTTATGTCATACTTAACAGTATATATATATTTGGAGAATTTTCCCTATGCTGGATTAGTCACCCAAGCACCTTGAAGTTGCAAGTAAAATATTTGGGAATCCCTATGAGCTCAAGAAGACACACCTCACTGAAACTGATTCATGATAGTTCTTTTCCTGAGGAAGAATCATTCTTGAATGATGTCAGTGAATAAGTCTTTTCAGGCATCTAAGGTGGCTTTCTGTAGTTCTCGTGGACCTCTTGGGAACCTTTTTAGCCATGTGAGCCATATTGAGCTAAGTGCTCATGAGCCAGAGATTTTCAAAATACAATTATTCCTGAAGTTGGCAAAAGACATGTACATTCTCTGATAAATGAGAAAAATGAGGAACAATAATGATTTTTAGCCATAACTCATAAGCCATAGGTTCCTGACCCCTGGTCTACACAGGTAGGGTCCTCGATAATATTGAGAATATATTTAGATAGTGAAAAAAAAGTTGTACTATAGAAATAAATGATATTCCCAAAACCCAATTTTTTTCTGCTCCAAAGTTGGTTTGACCTAGAGGGAAAAGAAAAAAACAAGACAATAAAAAAATATAATCACATCAGGGCTATCTAGCCTATTTAAGACAAGTTACACAGGTTATCTTCTATTTAAGGTATTTACAAATACCAATCTTTTACATATATCCAAAGCTGACTTTTTTGAAATAATGCATAGAAATGCACACACATTAACCTTTATCAGATGAAAGGCACAACTGCTGTACCACAGAATGTATTATTCCATCGCCTGAAGGCAGTGTTGGCAGTAACAAAGTAAAAATAATGCATTACAGTAACTGGTTACTTTTTTCAGTATCTTTTTTGGTAACGAGTTACTTTTCAGGGGAGAGTAATGGAACGAGTAACTGGAACTGGTTTTTAATGGAAAAAGCATGTGGTGTTACTCTAATGCATTTCTTTTCTTGATGATTAAATAATTTTGCTGAAAACAACCAGCACTTCATGACTACAAGCATCCTAATTGATACAAAATTGGGAGGAAAGGCATGAACATGAAATTGCCTCAAGGAACCAAGGTTTCTTCAATGTAGGTTTCTTGGCTGTACCTGCAAAAATATTTTGAAGTGCATGAGGTTAGGAATGAATTCAAGAGTTCCACTGATGCAAACTTATGTGCAAAGTGCCCTCAATGTTTACTGAAGGCCAAGGTACTTTCCAGTGTACAAACTTCAGCATCTACCTTGAGAAAGCATGTATAGATGAGCTCTATCATGTCCTGACTTCATCCAGACAGACTGGTCTAATGTTAGGTCTTAATGATAGGCGTTGCTTTGGTTCTGATTGTGCATCTGCACAGAAACCTTTGGTATACCTAACATTGGCACCTGTGTCCACTATCTTGTCCAATACCCTTTAGGCTGGGTGGGCAGGTAGACCCTATCTACTTCCCATATTTCAAGTGCCCTATTTTATCACCCTCCTAACAATCCGTCATTAGTTAGACATAGTTACAGTGCTTATCGAATGAATTCACCCCCCCTGCAGTGGGCGGTGGCGCTGCTGGCTGTGAGAAGAGAGTGACATCTGTTTTTCATCCCATAAACAGCTAAACTAATCACATTTGCGATCCCAGCAAGGTACCCAACTACTATAGACCAGAATGATACCTTGAAGGAGCTTCGCAAACTTGACATAATACAGCTGATCAGAACGAGCAGGAACCAACATTCCTTTAAAAAGTTCGAGTGAAGTAAACCTTGAGGAATGTCAGAGCACCTAAGTAAAAATGATATAGTCACCTTGTCATCGACGCAATCACGAAATCAGTCATATACCTTGTATATAATTCTGAAGCATTTTTATTTTTACCTTATAATTTTATCATACATGAAAAGACACCTGGAAAACATTCATATTTCTCAATATTCCGGAAATCTATGAGTTAAACGAAATTTTAATTGTTAACTTTCTGAATCCTTCTCCATAGTCTTGGTTTTCACGGAAGCTTTCCTTTCCCTTCTAGGAAAACCTCATATGGCAGGCGATCTACGTTCGATGTACTTTTTACAAATAAGAAGAATTGGACTAGAATCCAGTTGATGCCTAAGTTAATGAATAAAATTGATCAAATGTAGAAATACAAGAAATTTGAGTATAGAATGTAATTTTTCCCTCCTCTGAGTCTAAATAATGATTATGAAATCCTTCGTTAGTCAATGGGTATCATTGATGTGATTAAAATGAATGAGAGAAAGAAGTTAGGGGCATGTCTTATTATCTTCCCAAATCTTCTTATTATCTTCCCAAAAGAGTCTTTCATAAATTAATATTATTTATTTTGTTGGAAGACTAAGCGAGATTTAAATGAAAAACTCAGAATGGATGAATACACTTTCCCCAACCGTTTAGAATGCAGGACATAGCGACGTGTGCGACATCTACCTTGATTAGTTGTTATTAGCAGTTACAACATCCGCAGATGCGTCATAGAAAAGCATGGCGAGTCATAGGAGCCCTTAGTAAGAGGGGGGTGAATTCATTCGATAAGCACTGTAATACAGGGTGGACCAAAAAAAACTTCTTCTCCACAGCACTGATCCCCAAAAGTTTGCTAATATTGCAATAGCACCTCTCTATAGAACATTCATTCAGCTTTTCAATAATGACAAAATAAAGATTCATGACATGACTTTCATGCAGTTAGATAAAGAGTATAAGAGGTGGTGCTAGAAAAGTTGGTGCCATGCAGCGATGGCAGCTAGTGCATGCAAGGTTGCCTACTCACCATAAGTGAAGGTATGGATGTCACCTGGAGCACATCTTGTAGGGTACTAGTAAGTGCACTTTTCTAATGCTGCATCTGTTACACTGTGTGCAACTGCATCGGAATGATGGATTGGATCTTAAAAATCTTTTTACATCACTGGAAAGCTAGATAAATGTTCTATATAGAAATGTTATTACAATATTTTCAAACTCTCTAGAAACTATGCTGTAAAGTGTTCAGGAGTCAGGAGAGTTAGTGATATCAAGAGGCGATTTCGCCCATTTTGATATCACGTGTCGAGGTCGAGGTGATAACCAAGGTTTTTTTTTTGCCCACCCTGTAGGCCTAGCACTCACACTTCCAAAAGTAGAACCTAACTTAACATACAGTGATTTGCAAGTGAATTGGTACCACTTCTAACATGAAAGGCTCAGACCCAATTCCCCACATTTCATGGGCAAAACACCCTCATCTTCTTGATGGCATTGTAAAAAAACCCATGCACATTGTAAAAAGTTAGTGAAAATTCATTTTCAATCACTGTATGAGCTGGATTTGTGCAATCAATGTCTGGTTTGGAGGATGCAAGAGAACATGACTTCAGTCTTTTCCATTTTTCTATCTGTAACTAATGATAGGGGACAGGCTGGATAAGGTCTTCCCATCACCAATGGTGATTGGCTTTTTTTTTAAAATGAAAGGGTCCATTCTAGCTATCAGCTTATAATTTCTGTTAATTAGTCTATGGGAAGGGAAGAGGCACAAGGTAAAGAGCGAGCATGAGTATTTATCCAGTTCAGTGATGATCATAATTCAATTTTAATTAAATCAGGGATAACTTTGAGCATATGCATCCAGCTTCTGTCAAAGAAGTGGAGAAATTGTAGAAAGATCAGAGTTTTCATTCAGGAAAAGTAACTTCTACTTGTAACTACTTACTTTTCACAAGTAATGCACCAAACACTGCCTGAAGGTACAAATGCTGTACTGCAGCTTTTCGGAAAAATGTTCTGATACTAATAATGGCTTCACTGTCAACAGTTTATTTTTTAGAACAATTGTGCTATTCAGCTAGTGAATGTTTATGAGCTGTGTAGAAAAAAATCTGGCTGCCAGTGTTTATGTGGGAGATTTAAATATGTATAATAAAGGTTAAAGTTAAATGAAGGATTATAGGAATCTGCTATGTGAACACCAAAATGTGAAATCTTTCAAAGTGAGGATGTCCTTCGGATTCATGGATCTTGGAAGAAGGAGAAGTAATATGGAAAGCAAAGTGTTGCCCTTCCAATCCTGTGCACACGACGACATACTCTCAGATGTCTGCATCCTATAATACCCAATACCTCATTATTTGAACATGCATAATGCCATTTGTTTAAATTAAATATTCTTTACTTGAGGCACTTCAAAAAATGCATTTGCATATTTAGATGTTGATTTCAGAAAAGTTTTTGCTATCATGAAAGTTATAAAAAAGAATTAGAAAGGAAAAGGGAGTTGTGACAGTAAGATACAGCTGAAGGAAGCATGCCTTTTCGAACATTACAAAAGCACTTCATTAGCACTGGAAGGTCTTGCAATGTATGAACCAAGATAGAGAGAGCTGTTTCTTGTGTCATAGAGTTAGTAATTGCCTGACCTCACAAAGTCTCACTCTCATCTATCCATGTGCAGTGAAGCTCTTGGGTAACATCTTTGAGAATCATAATGTGAAAGTCTCAAGGAATAGGCATGCAGGAGAACATTAAGCCTAATGGGCTTCCTTAGAACTAGTGCCAGATATGGTTAGTACTGGGCACCTAGTACTGTGTTACCTGCATCCATAAGGTACATCTCAGTACCCAAAACATGGGAGATGGGTTTAATGAAAATCTAAATTCCTTCAATCAATTCAAGTAATGGCTGATATCTCCTACTTTTTTGCCTTTCACCAAACAATAAGAAAAATAATTTAATTTTGTCTAAAAGCTTAAACCTTCTCTGCCTTGAATGACTTTGCTTCTATAAAATCAAGAAAAGTACAGATAAAGAGTCAGTAATGTTTTGGCAGATGTCTACATGAGGAAAGAAGTAGTATCACATTTTGGGTAGGGTAAAAATACCCAGTGATGGACCGGTCCCCAGTGATGGGCTAGAGCACATAAAAATGCCAACAGCTAAGCTTCCATAGCACACTTATCCCTATTATGAAATAGGCTAGCAGAATGCAAGCACATACACACTTCAGAGGTATTCATGCTTAAAATGCCTAGTTTTTGGAATTTTCCTGCAACATGGCCCATCACTGGGTGTTTTACCCTACCAATAAATATTTCAGAATCTGAGTTTCAAAGTGAGAGTTTGCACTGATGGGGATAAACCAAGCCTGCACCTTTTGGAATTTTGATCATTTTAAGCTGGTGGGCCAGAACTATTACTAACCCACAGTGACCATTTCAATCATCAAATGACAAAGGCAACAAAGCTATTTGGTGTGAAAGTGCCAACTGTATTCATGACATATTAAAAGAAAATTCATACATAAAGGGAAACTTAAATGAATGCAAAAAATGACAATGGAAAAGTTCTACTGGCAGTAACTTTCTCAAATTTTTCTCACATAAAACATTAGTGGGATCTGCAATCAAAATAATCTAGTCCAGCATTGTAAAATTATGAATGCTGATAACCACGAATACAAATAACTCAGCAAGATTATAACAGTGAAATTTATGACTAGATCAAACCCAAGAAGGAAGTATATGCAGTCAAGCCTCTCCATTCATCATGACACGGACAAGAAGGTTGGTGTTGCTGTCTCGAATGGCTGCACGACACCCATTCACCACCAATGCCTTGTACTTACCCACTGAAATTGGGAAAATACTTGAGCCTGATAAACCACCATCAACACACAAAAAAAACAGCAGTGAAGCAGCACTGGATCTTAAAATATATGCTGGATATCAAATGACTGGTCAGAAGATACAAGCTGACACCATGTTTCTCTCATGTCACACTCCAACAATTGCATTACCCCAGAAGGAAGCATAACACATAAATTAGTGCAAGAACTGGGTGTGAACTTGCATCTTACTACCCATCATTCACTATCTGGCATGTGTTAACAATCCAATGCTACCCCTTTCATGTGGATCATACCTCGAAGCTTGGCTGCACGCTGAACTATTTGATTCACCTGCTTCAAGGTCTCAGAGAGCTCAGTGCTATTGGTGTAACGAATCGTGTATGCATTAACCAGCTCTCGATTTGCTCCTGCCAGTTCTAGATACCATTTCTTCATTGAGGCCCTGTGATGAATAAGACACTTGAGGTTCATTCAAAGGATGTTGACTTTTTTCAACTCTTTCACTGCAGTAGTAGACTTTCCTCACACAATAGTTAGTACTCCCTAACCCATGTCAATTAAATTACACAGTGAAAGAATTAAAGTTTTCCAGTTTTGACCTCAATACTAAATTTGATCAAATGTGTATCACTTGAAATTGTGTACTTCTATTCAATCAATTGTTCTATTCAATAGCACTACCTTACTCAAAATAAACAGGCCGAGAGAGGATATAGGTAAGCAAATGCACTTGAATTACTTAATTGATAATCTATCAATAAGAAGAAACATGAAGTCAGGAATGAAGACGGAATGGTTTCCCTAAACCGACTGTAGTAGGTTTAGGGTAAAGGTAAGTCCTGCTCACAAAAGTGAGACATAAAAAAACTCTGATGTAGAAATAAAAACAAGATTGTGTAATGCTCGCGGTCATCTGGCATGGCCGGTAGTATTACTCGTACGTCGCTGTACTTTAATAGCAAACTACCTTGACTGTTGCGAAACAAGAAAATGATTAAAATTAAATAGAATATTAGAAATTGTCCCTTTGGGATGGTTCGTATTGGACGGATGGAATCAGTAGCAGTTAGACAATGATTCCAACAGACTGGGTTTCACACAGGATTGGGGTAGGACAGGGGTAGGATTACTGGAGGCACTCTGTTACTATAATCTTACTGCTGTATCACATTCCAAAATCAAACTTTCATATCTTGGGCTAGACTAAGGCTATTCATGCATTTTTTTATCAGCCAGAGGTCTCTGAGTGGCTTGTCTGCAGTCAATATGAGTTATCTTGAGATCCTCCCTTCATTGATAATATTGATAATGAAATATGGCCCCTGGCATAAAAGGACAAAATGTCACCATCAAGAAAATATCATAGGCAATACAAAGTCAATAACCATGGTCTACACAGTTCAGAGAGAATATTCTAACGAACCTGGGAAAATCCTTCATATAAATGAAGGATTTTCAGGTTCGTTTTCCGATTTTCCCAGGAAGAGGAATTAAGCATTTTTCTCCTGAAACAAAATTGCTTGATTATTAATGAATGCACTATACTTTACGCCATCCTTCCATTTACCAGGCTGATAGTTTACCTTGGTAGTGCTTGGTTGAAACTACTTTTTCCAGACTATATTCAAGGGGCTCATGGGCATCTGAACTTCCTTAATATGAAATTCTTAACAGCAGGAAAGGTGAAGGTCATGAGAACTCATTCAAAGTAGAAAAGGAGCAATACAATATATTCACTGTTCCAAGCTGTACAAACTAATTTTTCAATATTTTCTTTTCTCACTCTTTCAGAGAACCATCCAGATCCTTGCAAAATCTTATATGAGTTTGTTTGTAAGGAAGTTAAATTATATAAACATAAGAGAGAAAACCTGCACTGGATTTCTAGGTCTATGTGAATCATCAATGGTCAACCATAGACTTGTTCCAGCATTAGAATTCAGTTAAAGTAGGGTGAGGTGGGGCAAAAGTAACAATGGGGTAATTGTAACAATGCTTTATCTTTTTGCAAGTACATCAGATACAATTTCCCTATTTTGTGTCCATAACATGTCAATCATCATCCTTTGATAAAATATATTTTGAGTTTCTCTGTGATTTCCTAAGAATGTGTTTACTTTAATTTTGCGCGCCTTGATGAAAAAATTAATAATCCAAATTTTTTATCTTTTGTTGCAATTTCGTATTTCTTCCCAACTAATGAAGTCTTAAATGTAAAACTGTTACATTATCTGTCTGATCTTCATATCGACCTCATGATCTCAAAATTTGGACTTTGGCCTTATCACATCACTTGTTTAGTTGAATGTTACTTTTACCCCATGGAAAGTTGGGTCGTGGGGCAATTGTAACAACGTTGCATGGGGCAAAAGTAACATTGCACATACAATATTTTAAGTGCTCTTAACTTTGGTACATCAGTTTATTTTTAGAAAATATGTATGCTTGACTGAGTAATGTGCATGGGGCTTCTTCCAGGCTTCATAATGGTTCGCACTTACAAAAGGAAAACTGAGAGGGGTGCGGGGAAACGCTACTCCCATGGAGATCTTGTAAGTGCTGTGAATGCCATTAAGAATCATGAAATGAACCGAAAAATAGCATCAAATTATTATGGTGTTCCTGAGAGCACCATCAAGATGCGCCTGAGCACTAGAAGAACCGGACTTGACTCTGCAGTTCCCGGACGGAAGCCTGCTTTATCCAAGGAAGTGGAGGACACCCTGGAATCTGTCTTGAGAAAAATGGGGGAGTGGGGCTATCCTTTGTCAAGAAAAGAGGTCATAGCACTTGCTACAGATTACTGCAAGCTCAACGAGCTGAAAGTCGACAAGTTAGGAGAAGACTGGTTCCGTGGATTCATGACCAGGCATTCCACACTAACTCTGAAAAAACCAGAACTCCTGCAGTCTTGTCGAGCCAAGCAAGCTGATCCAGTGGTCATAGCCGATTTCTTCAGAGTCATTGCTGCAGCATATCAAGAGATAGGCTTGTATGATGAGGATGCAGCCATTCAAGGGGATTTTGTATGGAATGCAGACGAGACGGGATTTTTCCATGATCCGAGGAAGACTAAAGGTGTGGGTACAAAGGGAACTTCACTAACCCGCCAGAGCCAAGGTTCTGGAAGGGAATCAACAACGGTTTTGGCATGTGTAAGTGCATCTGGAAGAAAGATGCCGCCGCTCATCATTTACAGAGGAAAGAATTTCTGGGATTCATGGACATCTCCAGATGCATACCCTGGCACAAACTATGCTGTGTCAGAGAATGGATGGATGAATTCACACATCTTTTTGGAATGGTTCAAGAATCAGTTTGTTCCCCATGTGAAGAACATCATTGGAGAAGGAAAAAAGGCAGTCCTTTTGTACGATGGTCACGTTTCTCACGTGACAATCGAGCTCATCTTGTGTGCCATGGAAGCCGACATTGTTCTGGTGAAACTTCCGCCACATACTTCTCATATTCTCCAGCCTCTGGATAAAGGGGTTTTTGGGCCCCTGAAAACCGCATGGGATCACCAGTTGGTATCATGGGGCCGCATAAGCCTTGCAGGGGGAATGCCAAAAGCTGAGTTTGCAAAGCAACTAGGAAGTGTTTGGCGGAAGATAGGTGCTTCTCATATCAAGGCTGGCTACCGGGGAACAGGGATCTTTGATTCGACCCCATCTCTCTGCAACCAAAATGCCATTGCGAAGTCAGCATTCCATCCTGCAAATTTGGCAATTGCTAATAATTTAGTGCCTCCAGTTGACAATTCTACATTCAACCTCGAGGCGTCACTAAGGGAACGAAATCAGCAGTCATTCCCAGAGGATGCAGGAGAGAGGTCAACTTTGGAGAAACGAGGTGATACGTCAAAGTTGCACAGTGCAAATGCACATAGGCTTCCAAGAACAAAGCAGGCTCAGCCATGCATGTCCTTTGAGGACCTCTTACTTCAGAAAATTCAGAAGACGGATGCACCGGCTGTAAAGAGGAGGAAGGTTGCTCCTTCAAGGTTTGGAGAAATTCTCACTCATGAAGATGTGCTTGAGCGCATGAAATCCAAAAAGAAATGAATCAGAAGAAACTAAGAAGTGAAACGAATGAAAGATTGAAATAAAATGAAATGGAATGAAAAAAGATACGAAGGAATCACAAGAATTGTCAATGGATTTCTGTTAAGTTTATAATGTTCGACAGAGTCTAATGAAGAGCTTTCTTTTCAGTTATTGTCTGTGTCAAAGTATCGTGCAGAAGTTCAATAAAAGTCATTAGGTTATGATCTGTGAAAATAATATTTCTCTTTGTTGATAGGTTCCTGTGAGAGGCATGACTTTTATTGGTGTTCACCATAAGCAAACAGGATTGCAGGTTTTGAACTAGTTTTGAGGAAGATAATTTAGAAGAAAGAAAAAAAGGAAAAACAAAGAAATTAGTACAAGATAGGTGGATGAGAGGACTTTTACTTTCTTTTTTTTATTCCCATAGAAAGAGAATTCCTGCAAGCTTAAAATTCAGCAGATAATGTTTTCACCTGCTTCAGTATTATAAGCTATTGTTGCTTCATTATTAGCCCATTTTTGCTGAAAATTTCCTCAAATCATCCACATAATGTGGAGTGCATTTACAGTCCCGCCTTTTGCTTCTCAGTGCTATCAAACAGCACTTGTACAGCATTGTTACTTTTGCCCCATGGTATGTTACTTTTACCCCATTTCATGGGGCAAAAGTAACATGAAAATGCGCTTTTAAAAAGAGATTTCCTAAGGATCCAATTCAGATTTAAGTTCTGAAAGTCATTTGAATCTCTTGTTCACTGTTTGAAGAGGGTAGAAATCAATTTTTGTGGCAATGCTTTTGCTAGTATTTTTTATATCATCCTGCAAAGTACAATTATGTGTTTTTCAGGTTACTTTTGCCCCACCTCACCCTACGTCCCCATTGAAATACAGGAAATATGGGGTCGAAGGTCTTGATTTTTATCAGAATCAATACTTATATGATTCAATGTGTGCCTAACTTAAAAATTTTTCTTGTGTCCCTTTTTCTAAGGGTGGAGAATACATTTTGAAATACTTCCCTCCAATATTCTACGCTAAGGAGATATATTTCAAAGGCAGGATTTTTCCTGTACTCAGCCATTAAACAGATACTTCTGTGGGAGATAGTATTTTTTGTCTCTGTTTTATTGCATCAAGAAAATTCAGGAAATTGGGACTGAAAAAAGTGCCCTGATGGGTTTTAACGTAGATTTGTTTTCTTCTGAAATGTTGACTTGGGGTCCATGCCACCCAATTTCAGCCTTATACGTTTCCCCTTTTTGCTGACGGAAAAAAATATTTCTTAAAAAGACCGACTCAAAAGCTGCGCTTTGAGGAGACGCGCAAAAAGTTGAGTTTTCCTTAAACCAACATCACGTCCGTAATGCGTGCGCCAGCTACTTTTATATTTCTG